AAGGACACTGGGGCATTTTATTACCAGTTTATTTCTGTCTGGCCCTCTGAAACTCCTGCTGATGCTTTGAATCATAGAGGGTATGTTCCAGGGGTTGGATACATGAATTCCCATGACTTTTAAAATAATTTTAAGCTAATAAATGTTAAAGGAAGAAAGCTTTTAACCAGACAGAAATGTGTTTTCAAACTGTGAACAGCTAAGCTTCGGTGTGGGAAAATTTCTTCCCATAAGTAGCTTTTTCTAATCTCATTGGTATCGGGTTAATGGAAGGCTCGTGTATTGTCCAACAGAGTTCATAAATTTTAATTATTTACAGCCAACAGAAGTAAATAATACATGGCTTCTTCTGAAGAATGACCCCCTTCATCTACCAATCTTCTCATTCTTAGTGACTCAGATATGAATTTACTTTTGAAAGCAGGGCATGGCTTTCCAGGGCAACCATCTAAAACAGCAAATCCAGTGCAGCAACATTTAATGGGATCTTCTGTTCCCTGTTCACAAATCAGCTTCTTTTATTGAGAAACAGCAAGGGGACAAATAGAAAATGTGAGCATGCAAGTATACAGAAGAAAGAACACCTAAATCTGAGCAGAGGGATAAATAGGAGAGAGCAGAAAGGGAAACCAGAGGCAAGTTCAATGGGAGTATCCTCAACCACTGAGAAATGGGGAAGGAGGAGGTTGATATTCTTGGGAACTTCAGCAGGAAGCAGTTGGCTTGCACAGCTATGGAAGTGTGTGGTGGTGGTGGCAGTGGCAAGATTTAAAAAAACAGAACCAAATGATCTGAATGAGGATGGTGCATTAAGCAGAGGAACTCTGGGGTCTGGCCATTAAGGAAACTCTTATGTAAAATTAAGCATGCATGCTGATTCAAGCACTATATCAGTATTTGGAGTCCTTCAGTATTGCCATTCTGGCTCATTTCTTGAAATCTTATTGCAGTGTTAAGTCAATATTCTTGTCAAACCCCTTGAGAAAGGCAGCCATCTGTATTTGATTTTTATTTTGCAGATTGCATTGTTGTAAAATTATGCCTAGAAGTTCTTTGTGCATCTAAAAATTCATGAAGTGATATGAGGTAGAGAAACTTTATAGTGATAGCAAATGTGGCTTCAGCACAATACAGCAATTTTGTTCTTCTTTTCATGGCTTATATCTACATGCCTGTTATACACCCATCACTGTCACATAGTTACTGAATGAGTGAGCATGTCATTTGATGTCACGTCATACCTAAGTCATTGTGAAAATAAATGTTACCTAACTCTGAAATGATGAAAGCAATGTCTTTTAAGTGCCAAATGTTAGCCAACCTTTCCTGAATCATAAAAGTCCTGTCAGACTGACACAATAATTGAGTTTCAGGTTTTAGAATCTTTCTTTCTTTTTCCACTTCTATGCTTCCCCACACCCCTTTGTTTCCCTGGGTGGCTTGCAAATGCTGAAAATAGTATATAAATACAACTGATGAAACAGATAAAACCAGTAAAATCAATAGGTTATAACCATCTCATATAATAAAAGTATAAAACCACGCATAGCATGACAAAATGCAACCAATAAATTAACAGCCAAAATTAAATTACTAGTCAATAACAAAATATAAATTATACATTAAATAAGTGAAATTAACCAAAAATGTGTTGGACCAAAATAGTTTATACCTGGTGGCTAAAGGAAAGCAGAATCAACACCAGCCATGTGTCCCTGAGGAGTAAATTTCAAAGTCTGGCACTGCTGTTAAGAATGGTCCCCTCCTAGCCCCTTTCCCCTTGATCTCATGGCGGGGGGATTCAGAGGAGGACTTCAGAGGAGGATCTAAGCAGGTGGCTAAGAATATATGGAGAGAGGTGCTCCCTCAGGAACCCTGGTCCCAACCCATTTAGAGCTTTGTATGTCAAAGGCAACGCTTTGAATTTTGTCATATTTCTCTGTGGCCGGACACACTCCCACTCACTATTGTCAGCTTATACCAGGCAGCCCCAGCCCTTTTGGGTCACTTACATATTAGAAATTTTAGAAGTTGTGGGACTTGCCCATTCAAACAATGGTGGCCATGATGCGTAAGTCCAATCATAAAACCCTCATTTCCCAGAAAACAAACTGGTGAGGCTAAAATCAAAGCTACTTGCACAAGGCCCTATTGGAACCTATTGGAAATGGGATCTGAGTTTCAAAGTGCAAAACTTCTGTTTTGCACCCTAATAACAATGGTACAGGAGGGGTGCTGTCCCCTTTCAAGATACTTTAATTAAAACAAATCTGAACAAATGAAATAAAAATCCTGAGAAAAATCAAGAGAGTTAGGAGACATTAAGGTACTAAGAGAGGGATCCATGGGCACAACGGTACACATAGATTTCACACTGATATTCTGAATCTACCAGGTTATACGTAAGTGATTCATTTATACATTAGTTTTGACAAAAGTGCATTAGACAACTTTCTTTACCATTCAAAGGGCACAATAAAATCAACAGGTACAAAACTAAGCAATAGAATCAATTAGCAGTTCTCAACCAGCATAAGTCCCATGATTAAATCATGTTTGAAAAAAGCCTGCTTAAATAAATTCATCTTCACTACCTGCCTGAAATAGGGCCAGTTATATTTCTTTCAGAAGAAACAAAAAGAAAAGGTAGCCTTGTTGGCTAAAAGAAAAATTCCAAAAGAAAACTAAGCTCCATATTGTTGAAATGTCTTTATTAGGTTGACAGAACTTTCCGAGTTTTAATCTGGTCTAAGCAGGTATTGCACTAATACTGATCAGCAGATTTGGAATATTTCTCAGAAAGCCAGCCCAGCCCTGGATGCTTAGCATTTGTATGCACTTAGTAGCATGTGTACATATTCAAAAGATCTTAAATGCAGAAATGCTTCCTGTAACTGGTGAACTGGGCAACGTGTTTTTATACATAAAGAACGTTTTGAAGCACATTTTTAATGTATAATACTTTCCTTAGACCCATCTGTCATAAAGGTCATGCTCCACCATGGTTAGCTCCCCAACAAGAAGTCACAGCACACTCCCTTCACCATGAATTCTTAATATTGTACATGCATCAGGCAGCAGCCTTAAAGACGTAAACACAATTGATTAGAAACTAACTTGAAAAATTAAATAAAACTTTTTTAACAATTAGTTTGAAGTGGCACGAACATGACTGTGAGGGATTACTGTGTTGTTTATTAGTGATGCTATGAAGTCTTGTTCAAGACACTTGCAACTGTTGTCAGGAGACAATTTTGTAACAGCCATGAATATAGTAGCTGCAGGAAGATTCATGTTTTCCCAGAAACAAAATAATTGCAATCTAATATCCCTAAAACAGAAATACTACCTTGAAGGAGGCCTCTGGATCCCATTTCATGTCTCTGAGTGGAAGCCAAAGAATTTCAAGTAGGAGAACAGGATTCATAGGTTCAAAGGCATATCAATTAGGCATGTTCAGTATTAAATTTCAAAATAAAAACATACATTTTCAGAGCAGTTTTCTCTTTTTCATGTACACCCTAGTAGCTGGAGTTGAAGTACTCCTGAGGAATAATCGTATGTGATCTCAAACATGGTGGTAGAGATAGAATTGGCTTTGCCTGCTCCAGTTGACTGTAACAAATAAGTGTTCACAGTAGTTTTTCCTTCATTTATGGTGTAATGGTCCATTAGTCAGTCTTATACAATTGATTTCATTTTATGATATAGATAAAAATAACAAAACAGTTCAAATGTTGAATGTTAAATATTGCAATAGAGAAACACAAAACAATGCTAAAGTAAAATAGAGATAAATAGCAATTTAAAAAATAATATGAGAAATCATACCAGTACTTAGGTTGAAAAAACCTCTGAAAATTTTGCAGTTGATAAATCCACATGAGGAAATGAGTTGCAGCTGGTCACAGGCAACACTACTCTCCTGCATGTAATTGGAAAAACAGAAAAATAAAATATACTTAAAATCCATTAAAGTGTTCTGAATTCTAGGGTCACGGCTACAACATACTGCACTCATCTGAGTGTCTGAAACATTTTTTGTGATAACAGTTGAATTTCTGTTTAGATTTGGAAGTCACATGCTTGATCCCTTTAATTACTCAGAGTTAAGCCACTGTGTACACCAAGTGTCTCCTCTTGGTTTCTAACTTAAGTATTATATTTCTTTCTGGCAAAGTTCCACAAGCAATTTAGCAGGCCTGCTTGGTGGGGAGAATATCTGAGAGAGGGTAGAAAACATTATCAAGTGTTGAATGAAATAAATATCTACACAACATTTAGACATGCATGCCCCCACACACACATGCTAGACATCCAACCTTTAGTCTGATAGCATCAGTGTTAGCAGTTAAGTTAATGGTGCCACTTATTCAAGCTTTTCAAATGAGTTTTTTGATAATTGGGGCAAAGAAGGGGCTGATGTGCTCTACTAGCAAGTCTGTTTTAGGAGCTTTGGCCATTGACCTCTACCTTCCACTTGGAGAGATCCAACAGGAAAAATAGTTACCAACCAAAGTTTTATTGCCAAATACTGTGATTGCGCATGGCATTGAATAATTTGGCTGGCAATGCTTTGGGGAAGGTTCCCCGCCCCCATGGACTGGACCAGCTAGCGGTGCTGTCTGGTGTGTGTCTTGTGTTGCATTTTTCTTTTTCCTTAATATGTGCTTAGTTCGCTTGCTTGAGCATAGTTTCCCCTCACTTCCTGAGTGAGGAAATGTACTTTGTTACACTTTTTGTCCCCCAGCTTTTTTGTTTGTTTTAATTATTGTATTATATTACTATTTTAGTTATTATAAGCTGCCCTGAGATGTTTTATCAGGAAGGACAGGGTAAAATGTTTTAAACAAATAAATAAAATATTCATTAATTTGTGCCACAAGTAGGGCTAAGCAGTTTGTACTCTGATGAGCTTCAGAACTCTTTGCATTGGTTTTTAGAATTACTTGTTCAGTAGCTTGGACCTTAATAAGATGGTGTGTCATGTTCTGTTATAGGTACACTACAGTGACAGACAAAATGGCAAAGAATGCATGACCTGCTTGACACTATCTCCTGTGCAGATGACTTTCCATGGTACTGGAAGCTCCACTGAAGCCAGCCATAACCAGGTATAAATAGATTTAGCTCCTTTATTTTTGGCCAGTAACCTCTGAAACTCTGCCTAAGACAACATTTAGGTATCCCAAATTGTTCTTTTATGCATGTCAGTTTTGGAATGTAATTCTACATTTTCATTAAAAATATACAAGGTACATGTTATGCAGAAATGAGGCAAATGGGATGACTTTGTTTCTGATTCCTCGCAGAGCATAATGAAAAGTCAAAGTGTTAAAAAAACTTACTGTAAAAGAATGAGTATTCTGCTATTAGTTTTACACCAAAAACTATGAAGCCTTACTCATATTTTTGTTACATAGTGATGATTCTCTCAGACCTAGTGCTTTAAAAGAGGAGGAAATAATGTGTAGTCCTTCTAGCACTTCCAGGTGACCCGTGACTCTTGATTTAACCTGAAACCTGTAGGGGTTTGGGGTTTTTTTCCAAATAAAATAGGTGTAGTATTCAGATGTTACTTTCCACCAATACCCTCATCTCTATGTATAGTGAGATCAGGAGAATCCCCTATGCTTTGTCCCCAACATCTGCCAATTATATATACTTCATCCAACATAAGTTCCATTTTAGCTATCTTGAAAAACAGCTATTGATAGACATATCAAACATTAATTTCTTTAATAGAATAGCATCTAAATTCATAGCCATCTCCACATGCTGTGGTAATAAATTCCATAAGTTGGTTACTCTTTGTTGCCCCTTTGTATGCCCTGGATATGCTGCCATATGATTACCCAAATTTTAATATTATGTAAGTAATTGTACCTACCCTTGCCACATCATTGATAAAAGTGTAACTCTGTTTCTTGTTTTTGCTTGGTCTATTTTATTTTTTATTTTTAAACTTTGTACTTTTAAAAATAACTAATGTTCACATATTACCAAAACAAAACAAACCCTCAGTCTAACAAAATAAAATCCAAATGTATCCACACGGTTCAACAGTCAGGCAGGATTATACAGTGTGACTGGCCTGTAATGCTCCAGACTTGAAGGATTATGGACATCCCACTGGAGGGAGGGAGGGAGGGAGGGAGGAAGGAAGGAAGGAAGGAAGGAAGGAAGGAAGGCAGCATCAGAGGTGACCTCCCTGATTTTCTCACCTTGCCAAGAGACTTAGATGACTGATACTGTCCATTTAAGCCTTCTCCTGAGTACACAAGGAAGATAGACTGAGGCACTTGCAGGATACATCATGTCATGGCAGCTCTTCCCTCTGTGCTTCCCTGCTTGCACACAGATCTCTGGCTTCAAGGTTGGCCTTTCAGCCTTGAAGCTACAGATGGGCACAAAGCTTGGCAGAGGGAGAATTCTGCAAATTCAGATTTCTAGCTCCTGCCTTTCAGCACATTTCTGGAGCTGAGACACTGATCCAGATAGTCCTATATCTAGGTAGTTTCTGTATTGTAAACATAAGATTGCATCCTAAAATAATGGAACAAGCAATAATTAGTTGAATATACTGTGGCCTACCTCTAAGTGATTCCAAACATAAGCCACGAAAGGAAAAAAGACAAGACATAAATAACACAAAATGCAATGCAATTAGCTTCAATAAATATCTCAATATTGCAGATATAGTACAAGGTATTTAAATCAGTATATGACACACCAAGTCAAGGGAAGAAGAAAATCATTCATATCCTTACAAGCGTTTTCCTTTTTCTAACTGTTTCTGTTCTGATACCAGCTGATCTTTTCCTCTGAGTGAAAACCGATTTAGCCTTTACTCACAGGAAAGTTGCTTTAGTGGCTAGTCATTTTCGTTGTACATTTCTAGATTTTTAATTTCAATTTTGATATGTGGTAATCAGAATTATGTGCAGTAATTTAAATGTAGCTTGCAATGAAAATTTACATAAATACATTAGGATTCTTGATGTCTTATTTTTAGTCCCTTTCCAGTTCATTCCTAGTATCTAGTTTACCTCTTTATATGCATATTTTCACATTTTTTATTTTTTAAAAAACAATTGAACAGTTTCTTAATACATTCTCATATTTAATTACCTTGCTAATTTCCCCATGTTCAGAATAGTAATCACATAATATTGAACATGGATTTAACAAAACTAAAATAAATATAGCAAATATATCAAAGTCATTGTTAACTCACTAGAATATTTCTTAGATATGCTTTTGATTGTCAGAACATACACTGAATCTTTGCCATATATCACCTCTTACCATGAAAAATTTGTCCAATCACAGTGTTTCTGTTAGGCTTGTCATCTGCTAAGTTGTTGCATATGCCAGATAGATCATGGTTTGTTATTTCTGATTGGACTGCATGCCATATTCGTGGTATTCTTATATAGGAAACATAAAACACCCCTTATATCTATTTTGTCTTCTGTTTCATATTAAGTTATTTTTGCTGGTACTTCATGTTTAGGAAATATATGACAAAGCATTTGCTTTTCCCTGGCAACAGCTGGAACAGTCTTTGGCACACAGCTCTCTCTCTCTCTCTTTTCACACACACACACACACACACACACACACACACACACCCCGTCCGTTTGCATGAAATGTAATATTTTTTTCTACCCAAGTTAGTTATTACATTCCAAATACCATTAAAATCTACACTAAAGGATAGATAGATTACAAAGAAGACAGAGCTTGTCTAGGTGCATAGCTAATAACATTCACTACTCTGGATGTCAGCAGTCTCCGTTGTGAGTTGAAATGCACAGCACAATATCATCTATTCATATTCATATCACATGCTACTTAGATCTTACAAGGAAAAGGGAGCAAGAGACACCCAATGGAAGAAATTCCACATCTCCCATAATTTCAGGGGAAGCCCAAAGAGTGTCACCTCAGTGACTCTTCATGTGAGAGTTTATAAAAAAAACATAGTGGATATATTTCATAAAAGTTATTCTGAATCTCTTTATTAATAAATGTTCATATACTTTATGATATAGAAAGTAGGCAAAGAGTGCTTAATTTATATCTGCCTCTTGTTGGTTTGCACTGGAATGTGATTTGTGCTTTTGCCCTTATTACCAACACACTCTTCTTTAGCGCACAACCTGCCACATCCAGGAGATGAATAGGGCCATCCCCTTGGTTTTCTAACAAATATTATTCTATTGTACATGGGTGGTCCACCTTGATCAAAGTTGAAATACATCAGTGATATAAATTTATGTTTTACATTCCATGTGCTTGCAGAATATGTTCACAGCAATTGTTTGCATATGTATAAGATTTCAGCTCCACTTCTAACAAATTATTCTGTAAGTTTGACCAGTTTTTTCCTGTTCAATGAAATTGTTCAATATTAGAACTAATTTATAAATCCATTCCACCCACAAAAAGATGTGCAACATTTCCTTGATAGTTTGTATGTACCAACAAGAGTGTGTGTTTGCCACAATTATTATCTGGTCAAGAGCCTATTTGTCATTCAGTGTTTGTTTGTTTGTTTGTTTGTTTTCAGTTGCTTGGCCCGCATCATGGAGAAACAAGTTTGCATAGCTCATGAATTCTGCAAGCATTTCCGCTATACTAGATCCATTTCATATGATGCAGATAAAATTCAGAGCCCATGTTTTTGTAATAGATTTCCTAAAAATAAATTTCAGCTTAGTAATAATAAAACAAGTGCAACTAAACTAGCTCAGGCCATAAGTGTATAGATATACCTACACATTAAGAAGACTCAAACTCTTTCTGGAAGCAGTTTATTGATCCCGTTAGTATCTTTCATCTTCCCTTTCCTGAGATTCTTTTTCTTTCTTCACTCATCAAAGTTATTACTTTCTGAAAACTCTCCCCAAAGTAGTTTTGTTTTTGGAACTGCTCAGTGATCATTTTCATTCAGTGACTAATTTATAAAAAGAGAAGTGCCACACTTCAAATCTATTTGGCTTCTCATGTAAAAGTTTGACTTAAGTTTGAACAGACTTTGATTGCTTTGTGTATATGTTAAAGAAGAGATTCTTGTGATAGTGGCATATGCCAAAATTGTAATAATTTGATCATAACCCTGTGGAACATATTGAATGCTCCTTATTTTGAAGTATAACTCTGGTTTGTTTCTTATTTCTCGTATTTGAGACCAGTGAAAGTAGCTTGAGATCTTACTGTGCTACCTATGAAACTATTGCTGCTCTCTGGTAAAAACTGTGGCAAATAGAAGAGTTTGTTGCACGTTAAGTTCTCTAATGGAGCTTGCTCTCCTGGATAAATTGTTTCCCTTGTTCTCTAAACAGAAATTGTTTTATATAGGAAAAAAGTAAATAAATAGAATGACCACTTATATCAGGGAATACCTAAAGGTTAAGATATTGAGTTAATATGAGAAATTTGCATTTCTTTTCACTGTGGAGTGATTTCAGATGTTATGAACAGGTGTGCTGTAGACACTCCTTACTTCAGTTTGTGACTTAATTTTGTAACTACTTCCACTTAAAGTATCTACAGATGTTACATACGTAGTAGTACTCTTTAGGCCTTGTAATTTTTATTGCTTTATAATAGTACTTATACATTCTGTAATGGTAACATCTTCAAAATTCACTTTTGATCAAATTAGCCTTTAAGATCATGTAATAGCAAACACCTGGTATCAAACAATTAGTAAGATTAAAATACAAGAATATGGAGAAATCCAGAAAAGAGTCAATTGGATTTCAGTTTCTATGAATTTAACCTGCAGAACCTGGTGCAGACAGATTTTTTTAAATGCTGCACACCTTCTGTAGACTATATGCTTTTGGGGAGGATTTGCAGTAAGTCACATTTTCATAAAAGTGGATTAGTATACAAGAAAGAAATAGTCATACATCCCTAAAACAAAAACAAAAAAAAACCCAAAACCCTCTGAACCCATCAGTGGGTGGATGACAGAATCACAGATGGAATGGATTTAACCAAATCCCTACATCCCTATTAGAATAGTCACATCATCGTGAGTGCATATATGAAGTACTCCAAAATACCAGGCTTAAATTCAACGTTGTATGAATGAGCTTCCCCTTGCTCTTCTCTCTCCACCCATGCCGTCCCAATATATGTACCATATCTGCACTAGAGTTTATCTGAATTGGCTGTCCCAGTCCAGAAAAGATTTGGTGGATGTCTTGGGGCTGCAATGGGAAGGGGGAAAATATTATCCTAGCAGGCTAGGATCAACCCTGTGTTTTTGCAACATATTTATAATCCTGACAGTAAGGCCTCAGAATTGTATTCACTCTGCTGCTCAGCTGTGCATTGATGCTGAAGTACCAGCAGAAATGCTCATAATGAACAAAATTATTGTTATAGATAACAATAGCAGGACCCCCATATCTAGGAGCATAGGTTCCAAGCCCCACAGGAGATGCCTGTGGATTATAACAAACACAATATGCACTATGTACTGTACATATACATTTCTCTTTTCACAATTTCATGGATAGAAAATTCATTCTTACCATACTTCCAGAAACCTTAGCATATGATTTTTTTCTTTCCCTATTAAATCAAGATTTTTCACTTAAAGGAAGCACTTTACGAGTTCTCTTTGGCACTTTACAGCACTTTACGACTTCTCTTTTGTACTACGATTGACTGCAGTTAAATGAAAACATGGTAACAGCCAGCGGATATGGGGGTCCTGCTGTTTTTCTGAAGCAATCTTTGTGATGCAATGTGGGATTCCACCGAAATAGAGGGAGGAAATCTCTGAGTGAGTCAAGGCAGAGAAAACTCCTCTGTGTCATTCTTTCCATGTCATGTTCACATCAAGGAAGAACTGATATTAGAAAGGGGAGGGTAGCCAGAGAACAATTTGTTCCACTGTTACTGATACCTGACCAGTCAAGAAGTTGCTAGGAGATGCTTTGTACCAACATAATTTAGAACATCATAATTTAGCCTGATGTTTAAAATTAAACTGGTTAAAAAGTGGTCTCACCACAGGCGAAACAGGCAGGTGGCTTACAGCCATCTGCTCCCCATTCAGACCAGACCCCTAATGTTCTGTGCTAAACAAAGCTTCCTTAGAGTCCAAGTCCTTGCCTCCCACACAACATCATATTACCAAGTACAGTTACCATTCATTATTACACTTTTCTTTATCTTGTTTATCTTTTGGTTTGGCTGCCCAGCCTGTTATGGGAGCTACTAGAACAACAATAATACCGACAGACTGCTTGACATCTTTTCTGCAGACTAACAAGGAACCACTTCCCAGAGCATATATCCTCATTTATCATAGGCAGATAAGTGAGAGCAAAGAGGTAAATCACAACTTGTTATGCTTTTATGTGGGGTTGCGTTTATTGTTTTTTCCTTTTAGAAGTCTCCAGAATGGCACTACAGGCCATTTTTTTCTTTGTGCCCCAAGGGAATGGGGATTGAAAACAGAATACAAACTATAGCAAAGCAAAAGCCAAAGAGAAAGAGAGTGAAATAATTTAAGGAGCATATTGCTAAAAATATAAAGCAAGCAACATTTCTTTAAATATATCAGTTGCATGAAAACAGCTAGGGGAGATAGTTTAAGCATTAGATATACTTACTAACACAAGCTAATGGTGGAGATAAAATGCTGGGCAGTAACATAAGACTTACCTATGAATAAACCCAAATGGGACTACCTCTGAGAAGACATGAATAGGATTACAGTGTTAATGGAGCTTCCAGATTCAGAGGCAGTTTTTCTTTGAATACCAATACAGTAGGGGCCAATAACAAGAGAGGACCATTGCCTTCATATCCAGCTTCTTGGCAGCATCTGACTAGTCACCATTAGAAACCCAATGCATAGTCTTGATTACCCTTTGACTTAATCTAGCTGAATTTTTGGATGCCCTTACCACAGTACATATAAGGGAACTATTCAGAGGAAAAGTTTGAAATGCTCTGCTGGACACAGATGCGTCCACATGTGCTTTGGGTTTGCAGTTTGGCAAACAGCTGAATCACAGTGTTCCATCAGCTATCTCTTGGCCTGCACTGATTCATGTAATATAATATAACAGGGTCACAGAATTTTTTTAAGGTTCAAAATGTTTTGAATACCTAAAATCTACCATAGTAACTCCTAGTACAATGTGAAGTGATACTAAAATCTGAAATTTCCAGAAATATGAAGCCGCCTTCATATTCATATGGTAAGTCACCTAGAAAGTGTTATGGCTAAGGGTTGTGGCATACAAATTAAATAAATATTCCTTACACAAATTCCTGCACACCTGTATCAACCGATCATTTGCTTCTGTGTTAGGAAATTGATGAATCACAGATTCACATTCATCAGTTTTTAAATTATTTTCTACAGAATACATGAAAGGAGATGCTACTGCCTGCATTTAGAATTCTGCTTTATAAGGTATTATGTTCTTTAAAACATTCCCCTAGAAACATGTAATTTTTGATCTCAACCCTTCATTTTTTCTGATTTTATTTATTACCATGGGCTGGCTCACACGTACAAACCAGCTGCTTTTTTCTCTCCATGTGATTCTTCTGTGGAAACTGTCTATGGATGTCTCTGTTATCATGGCTGGAAGCTACATAAAATGCTGCTTGTAATTGTGGCCACTGGCTGTATATGCTAAAGTAGTACATATGTTTATATTTTTATTTCATTTGGTCTTTTTTATTCCACAAACCTTTTAATTTCTTTAGATTGTTAGTCAGCCAAGGATACAGCTGTTAATATTTGAAAAAGGGTTGTTAAATGCTCTGAGTGCATGATATGCAGTGAATATAAATCAAATATGTCTCCAACCCCCAAAATTCCACTATCCATGGAATTAGCCTGTAATCTTGTACAAATAATAATGTTTATTACAACATATGGACCTTATATATGTTGGGATGAATTTCTGATGTGTGTGAATATATAAGATAGGGTTCTAAGAGAATGTTCATGCTTAATCCTGTTATCATATGTAAAACATGACTAGATATGGGAAACATTTGGGTAATCCTGCCCCTATCACCTAGGCAGAAGTTAAACCTAAACTGGAATCAAGTTTTAATAAATATTATTTTGTTCGGTATGATCCTCTCAATATCTGGAAATAATTCTAACTAACTAATCCAACTAAGCATCTTAACATTTCTTGCTAAAATTAAGTAATTCATGCTAATGGTAGTGTGTGGCATTCTAAATACGCTACTCATGTTGGAAGTTTTATTCTTCACTAGCGTATTTGCCTTAGTTCTCTATTTGAATTTTTCTAAGGAAATCTCTATTTGATAGTCAGTGAAAGAGCATTGGGTGTTTACTCTGGACTCCAGAAGCCTGTAAGATAGGAATAATAGTTATTTGCTTTCCTTGTTTAATATAAGAATGAAACAAATGCATTCTTAACAAAAAGAGGAGTAAAAGTGGTTCCCTGCTTGCTAAATGAGCTAATGGAATCCCTTGGCCAAAATAACGACCAAACCAGACCCACATATAAGCTGTTTGTGTTCTTGCCATGCATGTGAAAGTAATTTCTGCCCATGGCATGAAGTAATTTGCACCTGGCAATACATGCAGATGTACCTAACAGTACCTTGGTACAGATGTAGTGGCAAACCACCGCGGGTCAATTTCCCATGGGGCTTGCCATTTTGTATTTTGAAGATTCAAGCCATGGCAGGACATGCTTCAATTTGTGGTTCCATGTGAATGTGGCAAGGGTGGGTTGTTGGGGTGGATAGAAAGCTACTCAGAACCTACAGCCTGTTGCACAGGGACTTGTAACTGCCCCCATCAACCCACTTTCACCAGGTTCACACACAAAAAGCTGCAGGATGTCCAGCCATGACTTGAATTCTCAAAATGGTGGCAGCATGCACCAGAACAACAAGCTCTTCATGGAAATTCATGTGCAAACTGGCCTGGAGAGAAATCATCCTCCTAAGCGTCACAGGAAAACATGACTTACATCATGGCCAAAATGATCCCACCAAACCAAGTGCCTATATGTATGCCACACATTCAGGGAAGAGCTGCTTGAATTTTCTCCTCAGGCTACAGCTACTCCTGCCACATTGATGGGTGCTCTAAAGCAGGGGTCCTCCAACCTTTTCAACAGGGGGCCAGTTGAAAGGCAGCGGGGGCAGGGGGGCTGGTGAGGCGGTGGTGGCAGCAACAGGCATGCACATGGCGAAGCAGCGGCTTGCTCACTCAGATATCTCCAAGGAAGTCCAAAATGATATCTGAGTGAGCAAGCTACCCCCTCACCGCACATGCGGTGAGGCAGCAGCAAGCACGTGTGGCGAGGCGGGCAGCAGCGGGTGCAGGTGTGCGGAGTCCAAAACCTCTGAGGTGGGCCAGATAAATGGGCATGGTGGGCCAGATCTGGCCCGCAGGACATAGTTTGAGGATCCATCCTCTAGAGTCTAGAGGATTTCTGTCCAAATCTCAGGAACCAGCAATCAGAGTTCATTGTTCTTTGGTGGGTACAATCTTCTGGATCCCAGACTGTTATTGAATCTTGGAGATAACATGCTATATAAAGTGTGCATTTAATGACAATGTTTAAAAATGGCTGGCAATGGTTTGAAAAGTGTTTCAGGACTACAGTAAGGAAAGCAGTTATGCTAAGTTCATTATGTCTCCTTCATGATTTCATTCTAGGCTTGTAGCCTGGTATAATTCAAAATCAGCTTGACTTTTTCTCTATATTGTCATCTTTTTCAAATACATGCTTTCTAGAAACTCCAGCACCTCAAGCCTTAACATGTTATGTCAGAGCATAAATAATTCATTAAAAGCAGAATAAATTCATTAAAATATGAATTCCTCATAGGGACATCTTATGTTCAACAATTTTCAGGCACAGATGGGAACAAGATTGCATATCTTTGGGTTCTCCAGTGGTGCATTAACTAAACAAAAAAGACAACATTACTTGTTTTGGGAGGCGTTATTAGAGAAGGAATCTTTGAAGACCTCACACAAAAGATTCTCCTATGTTTAGACATTAATGTAAACAACTAATTTAATGCATCACTAATGTTATACAATAGATGCCATCTTTCAACATGACCATGAGTAAGAAACTGATGTAATCTGAGAGATATTTCAAAGTAATTAATTTGGGAATAGGAAAAGAACTTCTATTGTATAAACTTTCCTCCCCCTGCCTCCATGTGTGTGTGAGTTTCTAACAAAATTAAAAACTGTGATAATTATAGATTTGTTAAATAAAGTTAAGATATAATAGCTGGTTTCTAAAATCTAAAATTTTCACAGTACAATTGTTAAGGGTCGATTTTTTAAAAAAAAACCTATCCCTTGAATTAAGAAATGATGACTGTTTTGTTTTTTTAACACTGCCTTCTAAGTACTATGGCAGAAAAAAACATATTTTAATAACATCTCTGTAATTGTCGTAGAGATGTTGGTCAGCCTTTTCATGCATTACAATTGTTTGCTTTGCTTTTTGTCTCATCCCTGTGTCCTTAAATTTGCTTATCGTGCTTCTTTTCCCCTTGTATTTCCTTACCCTCCTATGTTTCCTGTATACTCTTCAGTCAAAAATGTTGCATATTCAAAAATACGGACTTGTGCAACCCTGATTTTCTCATTTATTTCTACGTTTTAAGTCCTTATTACCAAACTTGCTTGTAAATGTTTTCAAGAAATTTCGTGACTCAGGCTAGAAATCCTGGGGTTAGCTGAATGGAAAGCTTGCTTGGCTGACATTCCACTCAGCCTACTCCCTTTTCCCACACCATGGTATATTTTGAAGGTAATTCATCTACCCAGAATACTGATTATATTTCCTTTGCTTGTTCAGCTGAGAAATCCTTAAGCTAGACATATACAAGTTCTAATGGTTTTGGGGGGACTAGGACTTTTTGCCTTTAACGTGGGCTTCTACTATTGTATCCTTAATACAACTGGGAGAATCTCCTCTCCCTCCTTTGACTGTAGGATTCCATGCCTTTGCCCACCTTGGTGCCTAGCCACATCTGTGTACAACATGCATACTTTCTTGTTTGATGTTTCAATGCTACTAAGGGGGAAGTGAAGAGGCTGTATTCAAGGGCAAAAGACATAATGATACTTCAGGTTAATAAGGTTGCTGGAAGTCCTGGCTCATAGTTTTTTAGATCCTAGCCCAAGTGTTTTAATATGCGCTTTTGCCACATGTCTGGGCAATCCATCTCAGTTGATGGCCCTGAGCTTTAGTATTTAGAATTTAGAAAAGTGGGGCTCTACTACAAAATCTTCCATGTGTAGTTGTTCAGAACAGGGTTCCAGCCACTTCATTCCATTTCTTCCCACTCC